CATTTGAAAAGATCACCCAGGAACGTCATGAGAATCGTGGTCAATTATGGCTATGTAATGAGATTTATCTTCACCAAGTTTCCCACAAAAGACATGCGCACTTGGAACAACCTGCAGAATCATGTATGACTCAACAAGGAGAGATGCAAGAACTGGTGTCAGGCACATACGAGGCATGTTTCGATATGTGTAGGCTGGGCAAACTTAAACTCCCCCATCAAGAACGATTCCTACGGAAACGAACTAAGGTTCGAACAACGAGTGGTTATGTCTACCATCATTTGCATGACAAACGATGTGAGGGCAACCATGTTCATGCTACCATACAGGGATCCATGAAATATCAGGGGAAGAGGACAAACGTCTCAGCATATGCCGCAGCATATACACCAATTTTTGGATCACGAATAGCCAAACTTGTCTTGGAGGAATGCCAAATCCGAGAAAACCCAGTCATGTCTGAAGTTTTTGCTTTATCTGAAGAACATGATCGACCAGAAATGGCACCAGAAGACTCAGCAAGTCCAAAGCGACAACGCTATGGAATTAAGAGGCCACCACGATCACTTGATTTAAAGCATGAATTTCAACTGTATGGTCGGAGTCCCACCTGGTCAAAAATCATTCAACGGTGTAACTCCGACATTCCTCGGGTTGGCAACCTCGCCATGAGACCAGGGGATCAGATGTTCCCTCAATTTCAAATGATGGTTCCAGAGATGGACATCCGACTCATTTTGATCTGTCGTGGAACCGAGCGATTTCGAGTGCCAGGAGCCTATGCTAGAGGGGAAGAAATGCCATGGAGAAAAACAATTTTGGTTGATCGAAGTAGTGGGGAGATTATAGATAAGGGGCCCCCTGAAAACTGGAAGGGTCTTCCAAAACTTCAACAAACCCGTAAGGCTGGCTCAGCACGGATGTCAATTTCACTGTTTGGGGTAATATCCGACTCAAATCAAAGGGGATTACCTTCAGAACCTCCACAACCCCCAAAAGGTGATGACGGAGATCTACGAGCCCAGAACGGGGAAGTTGTAGGGGATGAGTTAATGGACCCTGAAGGGGATGGGGAAGGGGGTTCTGAATCTTATCCTCCGGAGGGAGAGGTCGGTGTAAGTGCATGGCCCCCTAAGATAGTACCTCGGAGTGGACCAGCTTTTGAATCACTGGAAAGTTCCCAAAAGGCCGACCTTCGGAGGATCCATTCAAATTTAGGACATCCATCCCCCGAAAAATTGAGTCGAATGTTGCTTGAACAGGGGGCAAGTGAAGCTGTCGTGAAGGCAGCACGCGACTATCAATGCGACTCGTGCATTGAGTCCCAGGCAAAGCCCCGGCTTCCGAATCCATCAACTATCCATGTTGCCAGAGATTTTAATGACGTTGTTGGTGCTGATGGGGCATACTGGACAAATAGGCAGGGTCGCAAGTTCCACTTTATGCATTTTATTGATGAAGCAACAATGTATCATTTGGGGAGGCCAAGTGGCCGTACGGTTGGGGAGCAGGTTGAGACTTTTGAGAGTACATGGTTGCATTGGGCTGGTCCGTGTAAACTGTTGTACTTAGATCCTGCTGGAGAATATGTCAATGACGGATGGCATGAATTCCTTCAAAAGGAAGGAATCAAATTGTCAGTCACAGCTGGTGAAAGTCACTGGCAATTGGGCAGGGCAGAAGCACACGGCAGAGTGGTCAAGCAAATGCTGACATCAATGGACATAGAAGAGCCAATCTGCACGCCCGATGATTTCCAACGATGCCTCCGTCAGGTGTTTGCGGCGAAGAACTCATTGAGCAGTGTAGGAGGATTTACCCCCGAGCAAGCGGTAATGGGGAAGTCGCGGTCTATTCCTGCATCATTGATTTCTGATCCTGACGCAACTGCTCACAGTTTGGCTGAGTCAGCATCACCTGAGGGCATTGAATTTCGAGACAGTCTCAGACGCAGAGAGATGGCCAGAAAGGCCTTCTTAACTGCCGATAACAGTAGTGCTCTGAGGCGTGCCTTATTAAGAAGAACCCGAAAGGACCCACATTGGTTTGACAAAGGGGATTGGGTATTGTATTGGAGGCAGAATAAGGGGAACCAGAAAGGGGAACGGGGTAGATGGCACGGCCCAGGACAAATTATCACCATTGAAAATTCTAAGGTAGTCTGGATCAGCCACGGCGGGTATTTAATTCGTGCAAGCCCGCAGCAACTGCGTCCAGCTTCCATGCGAGAGCACTTGGCACTGCGTCGTGATGCTGGCGGCAGGATTGTGAATGAGGTCATCCGAAACTGCAAGAACTATGTTCCACTGGAGGGCATTCCAGATGATGGGCAATGCCATGAGATGCCTGAGCCAAGTCCACCGCAGATTAGTGCCAGTTTGAGTGAACTGCCCAGCCAACCGGAGGGTGAGAATTTTCCGTCTGACCATCAATCTTCCATTTCTCCAGTTCCGTCCATATTAGATGATTCCGAAAATCCCATGATCCCAGAAGAACCCCAAAACATTGATTTTGATCTACCTGTTGAGGTTCCTGTCCCAGATGGGGATGATGGGGATTTGTTGTTTGGGGACGATCTTCCAGTAATAAGTGGGGATAGTGGGGTTTGGGAACTGAGTTTTGAGAATGGACCGGAACATGAGTGTGAACACATCTGTTTGTGTGAGAGCCCAGAGATTTTGGAGTGGGCCAATTTGGCAACTGGTGCTCGCAAGCAGAGAGTAGAAATCCAATGGAAGAATCTAAATGATAAAGAGAGGGACCTGTTTCAGAAGGCAAAGGCCAAGGAGATAGGCGCATGGGTAGATCATGGCACTGTAAAAAGAGTATCACGGGGAACACTCCGTGATGATCAGATCATGAGATGCCGATGGATCCTCTCTTGGAAACCTCCAATGCCGGGCTGTACAGAAAAACGTGCAAAGGCACGGCTTGTAGTCCTTGGATTTGAAGATCCACAGCTGGCCACAATCTCTGCAGATGCCCCAACCTTAAGTAAAGATGGGAAGCAGTTGGTATTGCAGCAGGTAGCAAGTCGGGGTTGGAAGTTGATTAACTTCGACATTGCCACAGCATTTCTCAAGGGCGAAGGAGATGGCAGAAAGCTTGGATTGCATGCACCTCCGGAATTGCAACAGGCCATTGGCATGAGGCCAGGGGACCAATGCAGTCTTGTTGGAGGGGCATACGGCAGAGCTGATGCTCCAATTCTGTGGTATCGGACCTTGAAACAAACTTTGGAGTCCCTAGGCTTTGTGGTATGTCCTTTTGACGGATGTGTTTTCAGTTTGGTGACACACGATCGTCAAGGCAGACCAAAAGTTCGGGGTTGCCTAGGTCTTCACGTCGATGATGGGATCGGTGGGGGTGATTCTTACTTTAGGGAGGTCATTGGAAAACTTCAGAGCATTTACAGTTTTGGAGCCTACAATGAAGGGGAGTTTGAGTTTTGTGGTGTTCATTACTTTCAGTGGGACGATGGGTCCATTGAGATGGAACAGAACTCTTACATTCAAAAGATATCACCCATAGAGATCCCTCGAAGTCGCCGAATGGAGCCGAAAGCACCTCTATCAGCCACGGAGACACAAATGCTCCGACAAATTTGCGGTAGCATCCAATACGCCTCTGTACATACAAGACCAGATCTTTCAGCAAAGGTTGGTGAACTTCAAGCCGCCATACCTCATGGTCGAATAGAACATTTAATACAGGCCAACCGTGTCTTGTACGAGGCCAAAACCAAACCAGTTTCCATCATGATTGTACCAATTCAGGAATCTGAGGTGACATTTTGTGCATTTTCTGATGCGTCTTTTGATTCTGGAAAAGGGAACTCATCCAGGCAGGGGACATTGGTGTTTGCGACTGATGGGAAACTGGTGAATAATCACCGCACCGTGATTTGTCCGATGGCATGGTCATCAAGAAAGATCCCAAGGGTTGTGCGAAGCACACTCAGTGCTGAGGCTGTGGCATTGGGTGCAGCACTTGACCGTTTGAGTTGGCTGCGTATATTTTGGGAATGGATGAAAAACCCAGGGGTGGACTGGTCCAATCCAAATCAGGTATTGGCCGAGGCACCTCAGGCCGTGGTAGCTACTGATTGTAAGTCAGTATATGACCTTTCAACGAAGACTTCAACACCTGCCTGTTCAGAGTACAGGACAACCCTGGAGTGCTTACTCATCCGTGAACGCCTCGAGGAAAATTGCAGACTCCGTTGGATTAATAGCAAGGCCATGCTGGCCGATTGTCTTACCAAAAGTATGGATGGCGAAGTCCTCCGACGGGCGCTGCAACTTGGGCGATACGCCTTGTTCGACGAAAATAAAGTCTTACAAGAAAGAGCTGACAAAAGGTCAAGACTGAAATGGGTCTCTGAAGGGAGCCAGTCAGTGCGGAACACTGACAATGTGGACTTGGAAGGAAAAACAACTGAATCCGGACCATGAAATTTAAGAGACAGTTGTTGTTTTTGGGTTTAAAGTTTGATGATTTGTTGTTGTTTTGTTGTTTTTGTTTTGATTTTTGACGAGTGTGATTTTTCCAACATGAATGTCATTTGTTCCTGCTTTGCATCAACATGTCCACAGGGATCCCATGTTCCAGTTTGGCCATTGACATGACTGTCGCCGGCCGTCGCTTATCCGTCCGCAGACGGGCGGGAGGGAGGTTGTCACTTGGCAAGCGAAAACAGGGTTTCGCAGTCTCAGAGGTTCAGGGGAACCCCAAATTGGATATCTAATCGGGGATTAGATTCACAAAATATATATATATATATATGCATATATAAATATATGCATATATGTATGTGCAATTGTTATGGATATACGCATGTAATTCTGTATCAATACATAGGTTTGTACTACAACTTTCATAATGCTACAACCGATAAAGTATGTAGCCCTGTATTCTTCTGTAGCCGTATGGTCAAAACCTGGCCAAAATGCTGGGAATGCTCTTCCTATTTCGAACTAGGCCCCCAACCCCCACCGGTCCGTGCAAATCAGGATGCGGCGCTTGAAGAAATCAGCTGCTGGCACCTACAAGAACCACCGGCAGCACCAGTTCTCTATTTCTGATCACTTCAAAAGAAGTATTTAATACGTCAGTGAGATACTTGCAATAATCTCTAACGAATTTGGCCCTCCCCTTTCTGAAGAACTTGCACCCCTCCGCCAATACTCCTCGAGCGATCGAGCACTTGTTTTTTGTCATAAAATCCGGGTTGCTCCCAACACGCCAGGAAAACATAGGAAAACAAGGAAAGGGCAACTGGGCGGATTTTCGGAGACATAAACTGACCAGTTTCCCCTCGTGGCGATCTGATCTATCTGCTACCGCCGCACCTTTTCGGAACTGAACAAGGCCATGTTCTCCTCGTACTCCTGTGGCTGAGAAAAAAAAACACCACGAGGACGGATGGGAGGGAAAGCGAGGAAGGAGGTTGGAGAAAGGATTATGATTATTTGAGAATTGATTATGAATATTATGATTATATATGACTATATATGATTATATATGATTATATATATGATTATATATATGATATATATGATTATATATATGATATATATATATATGATTATATATATGATTATATATATGATTATATATATGATTATATATATGATTATATATATGATTATATATATGATTATATATATGATTATATATATGATTATATATATGATTATATATATGATTATATATATGATTATATATATATGATTATATATATATGATTATATATATATGATTATATATATATATATGATTATATATATATATATGATTATATATATATATGATTATATATATGATTATATATATATATATGATTATATATATATATGATTATATATATGATTATATATATGATTATATATATGATTATATATATATGATTATATATATGATTATATGTGTGATTATATATATGATTATATGTGTGATTATATATATGATTATATATATGGTTATATATATGATTATATATATATATGATTATATATGATTATATATGATTATATATGATTATATATGATTATATATGATTATATATGATCATATATGATTATATCTGATTATATGTGATTATATGTGATTATATATGATTATATATGATTATATATGATTATATATGATTATATATGGTTATATATGGTTATATATGATTATATATGATTATATATGATTATATATGATTATATATGATTATATATGGTTATATATGATTATATATGATTATATATGGTTATATATGATTATATATGATTATATATGATTATATATGATTATATATGATTATATATGATTATATATGATTATATATGATTATATATGATTATATATGATTATATATGATTATACACAATTATTTTGATGATTATGACGACTATTCTGATTATCATGATTATTATGATTATGATTAGGATTACAGTATGATTAGAGGAAGGATTACCTCATTCAAGTTGAATTTGATATTTCGATGAATCACGTGAATATGAAAGGAAAACATACATGTAGAGTACACGCCTCGTCCATGTCATCTCAATTTGAGGGCCTCAAGAATGAGTTTCGCCATCCGTTGTCCCTGCAGTCCTGCTTGTCCCGCAAGCCATGCAAGACCAACAACTGCCAAGGTCAGGAGATGGACCGTTAACCGTCACTAACCGTTTCAAAGAGGGCTTACTACCTACATTGAGGATCATTGAGGCACACAGACACATCACATGGGTATCCCAAAACCGGCCAACGTCACACATTGCGAATATAAATCAACTTGACCATTCAAGCGGATCAATGCGAGAAGAATGTGTCGATAAACAAGAATTTCACACTATCTTTGCAAACAGTGTTGCAGTGCCCTCTGGATATGTGACGTACAAATAAACAAGGTATGCGTGCAGCGTACATGACTGGACAACGCATGTTTCCATGTTTATTTATCGAGCTAGGTACCTACCCACTTATGAGCCCCCTGTCTGCCTACCTGCCTGTCTGCCTGTGAACCTGATCTTATCCACTCCAGTCAGCAAATATGAATGTATCGGTGCATCGGTGCCTCTATCCACACGTGTCTATGAAGCCATGTCTCGATGGATCCATTCAAATCAGACCAGTCAATCCTTTTTTGAGTGAATACAGAGTGGTATGATGGACTGCAACGCTGCAACGCCAAAGCTCGTGTTTGTCTCACAGTGGTCATTTCAGCTGCCTTCCATTGCTTGTCACCGCTGCGCACATCATCGGGATTCGCCGCCTCCAACCTTGCTTCCAAATCAGCGAGTCGCATGTCCCAATAGGACCTTCAAAAATGTCCCACAAAAAATCAAGCCTTGAGCCTTGGCATGCCTTGTCTACTTTCACTGGAAAACCATGGAAAACCGACAGTTAAACTTGTGAAACGGTTCCTTCGACACTGACCAGGAACCACACGCCGCATGCACCCGACTGCAGTTCTCAATGGTGTTGCAGAAGATAAGCACCTCAGCCCGTTTGGCGCGCGCGGGCTGTTGGTCAAAACCCTGGGGGGGGCTCTGGTTTTCACAGATGTATGAATGTTCATGACCCGAAAAAAAGGATATTATGACTGGTATGACAGGTTTTGATCCATCTCCATTTCCGAAGGTTAGGACTACCCCGGACTCCCACACGCTTACCTTGCTCTGGTGGTGGTACTTTAGTTGCTAACGGATCTGCAACCATGACTTAGGGTGTTGATCTAACACGTTTTCTTTAGGAGTTTTATCAACTTAACTCTTAGTTTTTATCAACTTAACTTTTAGTTTTTATACACTTAACTTTTAGTTTTTATACACTTAACTTTTAGTTTTTATCAACTTAACTCTTAGTTTTTATACACTTAACTTTTAGTTTTTATCAACTTAACTTTTAGTTTTTATCAACTTAACTTTTAGTTTTTATACACTTAACTTTTAGTTTTTATCAACTTAACTCTTAGTTTTTATAGCCTTAACTTTTAGTTTTTATACACTTAACTTTTAGTTTTAATACACTTAACTTTTAGTTTTTATCAACTTAACTCTTAGTTTTTATACACTTAACTGTTAGTTTTTATACACTTAACTTTTAGTTTTTAGACACTTAACTTTTAGTTTTTATACACTTAACTTTTAGTTTTTATACACTTAACTTTTAGTTTTTATACACTTAACTTTTAGTTTTTATACACTTAACTTTTAGTTTTTATACACTTAACTTTTAGTTTTTATACACTTAACTTTAGTTTTTATACACTTAACTTTTAGTTTTTATACACTTAACTTTTAGTTTTTATACACTTAACTTTTAGTTTTTATACACTTAACTTTTAGTTTTTATACACTTAACTTTTAGTTTTTATCAACTTAACTTTTGGTTTTTATACACTTAACTTTGAGTTTTTATACACTTAACTTTGAGTTTTTATACACTTAACTTTTAGTTTTTATACACTTAACTTTTACTAAGATAGAACCCCAAAATTGGACCCCAAAATGACCCCAAAATGACCCCAAGAAGGTGAGTTTTTATCAGCTTAAGTCTGGCCAGTTAAGCTGACACAAAGTAAGGGTACAGAAACTATTTTGCAGCAGAATAGAGTTTTTATACCCTTACTTTGTGTCAGCTTAACTGGCCAGACTTAAGCTGATAAAAACTCACCTTCTTGGTGTCATTTTGGGGTCCAATTTTGGGGTTCTATCTTAGTAAAAGTTAAGTGTATAAAAACTAAAAGTTAAGTGTATAAAAACTAAAAGTTAAGTGTATAAAAACTAAAAGTTAAGTGTATAAAAACTAAAAGTTAAGTGTATAAAAACTAAAAGTTAAGTGTATAAAAACTAACAGTTAAGTGTATAAAAACTAAGAGTTAAGTTGATAAAAACTAAAAGTTAAGTGTATAAAAACTAAAAGTTAAGTGTATAAAAACTAAAAGTTAAGGCTATAAAAACTAAAAGTTAAGTTGATAAAAACTAAAAGTTAAGTTGATAAAAACTAAAAGTTAAGTGTATAAAAACTAAAAGTTAAGTGTATAAAAACTAAAAGTTAAGTGTATAAAAACTAAAAGTTAAGTGTATAAAAACTAAAAGTTAAGTGTATAAAAACTAAAAGTTAAGTGTATAAAAACTGAAAGTTAAGTGTATAAAAACTAAAAGTTAAGTGTATAAAAACTAAAAGTTAAGTGTATAAAAACTAAAAGTTAAGTGTATAAAAACTAAAAGTTAAGTGTATAAAAACTAAAAGTTAAGTGTATAAAAACTAAGAGTTAAGTTGATAAAAACTAAAAGTTAAGTTGATAAAAACTAAAAGTTAAGTGTATAAAAACTAAAAGTTAAGTGTATAAAAACTAAAAGTTAAGGCTATAAAAACTCTCTAAAGAGACAGGTCAAAAACGTGGTAGAGCTACGTCCTAAACCATGACCATTGGCCAAAAGCTACCCAGTTTCCAAGGCCACCAGCCTACCAGATGCTGAGTTCGCGGCTCGATTATCCTCCTCTCCCTTCAGGATCCCTCGCTGCATATGCCACACCTGCGACTCAGAAAAAGGTGGAGCGATCCAAAGCTCCCACAGGCTCTTAACAAAATACCAAGCTGCAAAGGCAATTTGCAAATGAGAATCGTTGTCATGACCTCACCTTCCAAACTTATAAATGTGATGCTTATCCTCATGTTGCTTGGCAAAATCCCACATGATGCTGTTGGTGAAAACCCAAATATCGGAGAAATGTCATATTGCTATGTTGATCTATGCTGGCTGAAAAAAAAAAAACATCTTGAATGGTGTTCCTCAATTTCCTCAATCTTGACCGGTTTCAACTCCCAATGATCCATTAACCCCATGATCCGGCGAGGTACCAGGTGAAATCTGGGCAGACCCGACCAATGCTTGGATCTTGCTGCGCATCACCAGGCTCAGACGTTTCCTTGGGTAGTCCCCAGAGACCAAGCAATCCATCAACCAATTTTTACTGCCATTATTTATATGTATATATATATATGTAATACATAGGAATGTAGGATCTTTTTCAGAGTTGCAAGCAGATTTCCACCAAATAATCATCAACCACTGTTGCAAGTACTCATCGTGGAGGTTTAATCAACCCCCCCAGAGGTTACCCTACGAATGGCTTATCCCCATGAATCAATAATATTTGTGCCATCAGACATCATCAAAAGGTAACGCAAATCTTGGAGCGGATTCCTGGGGCATCAAACTCAGCTTCCACAGCGTAGAGGTTGGGAGGGGTGCAATCGATCAGCACGTGCTCACCTGATGTATCTCTGCAGCTTCCATCCGCGCATGGGGATAGTATGGATGTACTATGGGAGATTGTACTGGTAGTAGGATGTAGTAGGTATGGGATAGTAAACAGAAGTGACCCCAACAAAAAAATGGCACGGATGAACTTCGGAAGATCGTCTATTCAGCGAAGATAACCAGGCTGAAATGACCCGCAGTGACCCCAGAACCGAATGTGATGCCATCGTTGGAAGCCCCACCAGGCATCCGAGCAATTTAGAGGTACACGGTGCAACCCTGGACCCTTGGTCCACACCACAGAAGCATTCCTGCGAAGCGATCAAGAAGGAAAAAAGCTAGCAAGATACAGTACATCACACGATAGCAAAGTGGATGGATGCTCTAACTTCTACAAATGGCTCATAGAAATTGTGTGCAGCTACCCCACTTCGACCCATAGCCCAATGGATAGCAAGTGGTTTCCGAACCCCCCGCGTCTTGGTGCCACGATCTTGAGCTTCGATCTCGAGCTGAGCCTGGTTTCCATAGTCATTGGTTAGGTTTCAAGGAAATTTTGGAGGAAACCATGGTCTTTAACAATGGATCTATCCAACCCGTCTTTGAGTTTCAGTTGACTATCAGTTGATTGTCACTTGATTTGTCATTTGATGTCAGTTGGATAAAAGAGAATGACTTAGTTGAAGTAAGGGTGAGACTAGTGTGAAGTTGTGGGAGTTGATGCTAAGAATGGCCCCATGAGGCCTCATGAGGCAATGTCTGATCCACCAAGAAGCCTTTCAACCAAGCTACTGCTTGGAAGGGAAAAAACAAACAAACACATCAAGTAGCACCCTGTTTTTTTAAACAATAAATACCATTCAAGCCATGCTCTATTCTGCAGGCTTACCATCACACCCAGCTACCAGCTGCTGCCTCTAAGGATTGGATTTCGCCTTTGGCCACCTGACAATGTGGGGACCTATGGCGGACCTCTGAATGGTGAAATGAAATTTAATTACATCCGAATCTAGCTGCAGCGCAGGATCTCAGTTGATTGGTCAAAACTTGAGACCAGATTTTGATGGGTAGCACTGGCAAATCATCAGAATCTGGATAAATCTGGTCTTGGAGGGGCTTCCCATGGCTGCCAGCCTCCGACACCGTCGCAGTCACAAAGACCCACTGGAGTTCCGGCAGCCTCCATACATCATTGGACCACACCATTGGACCATACATCATCCCATCCGGTTGGACCTTGGGGTGAACTAAAATGGCTGTGAAAAAGAACATGGAAACTCCCTAGGAAAAGGATCTACAAATGGGGGGGTTCCACATCTATCTTAGTTTACAGGAGGGTAACTCATGTATAACTGTATAACATTGTATAACTGTATAACGAGAACATTACATAACTATAGGATACAATGGGTAAACTCTGCTTGTATCAGAAGTGACTGTACCCCTAACTATGGCTAGACCCCAAGTGGCACTAGAAGTGTCTATACTCATTCCCCTCCCATCTTGTCACCAGCATCTCACTGAGTTTCCAGCTGAATCTTCAGCTCCGCGATGTTCAGATTGCCCTGCTCCCCGACCAATGCGTCCACCTGCCGGAGAACATGATACCTTTGGAAGACAGGAATCTCGGATCCTGTTCATCCAATGTTCATTCATCATCACAGAGTTTCAGACTTCAAAGGTCCAAAAAATATGGTGGAAAGAAGGGTTCGGCGGATTCCCAGCTGGGAATTCACCCCTCAAACGGCCCTAGCTTCAAGCACCTCGTCAATCACCACTGCCTTGCAGCTTTGCCAGGTATCTTTGGGTATCACAAAGTCCTCCGGCGATTTGATCGAAGGGGTCAGGTATATGGTAACCCCAGACCATCCAATTTTGGTGGTAACATCCTCAAATCTCACACAATTGTGTTGAATTGAGATCTTAATGATTGTTTCTTAATGTAGAAAGAAATATCATGATCCTTTCTTGGACTCGGCGGCCCAGACATCCCCATCTTTGGTCAACTTTTTGTTGGCGATGTGTAGGGCCTCCTCCATGAAGAACTTCAAACGCCCAGGGGTGGCCTCATTCATCGAATTTCAGGGTTTTTTGGGGTACCTAAATCTTGACCCATAGCCATGTGGTAGATCCCATCACGGAACAGATGACTGGCATCTGGTAAGGTTGCGACCACCACAACATCGGTGCCATTGAGCAGCTGCCTCCTTTGACGGCGAGCATTGTCTCCTCCTCCACCCACCACAGTGGTCCTTAGCGCTGCAAGTTGAGTGTTGGCGATCCACACCCAAATGTTCAGCCTTTCAGTGTGCTTGTTAACGAAAGTGGCGTTGGGGTTTTATTATTTTGTCCATTGGAGCTAATGCGCCTCAGTTCACATTGACATTGAACTTTGGCGCCGCAGGGGGTGTATTGGATAGAAAGGGTTCCAGATTTTCGTCTATCTCAAGTCCCATCAAGTCCCCACTTGTTTGTTGGTAAGACCCCCCGATAGCCTTTCTTGCTCAAATCCCTGCTTTTTTTAGTATTTTTCTGTTCAAAAGCCCAAAGAATTTGGGGCCCAAAAAATTCCCCAGACCCAGGCCCAGACCCCACCACGAAAGGCAGGTCACACCTGGAAGCCTCTTCGACTCCTGGACGCTGCCACACGGGCCACCTCGGCAATCTGCTGCACCAGGTCGCTGGTGGGCGCCAACACCTGGGTGGAAATGTCAGTGATTTTCCAGGGGAAAATCGGCTGATGGTGGATTTCGCTGAACTTCTGTGGAAATGCTATCAACCTTTGCGCCTGACCTCGTTGGATGTGCCAGTTACCTGGTCACCAGTTAGTTGGTGATCCCTCTGTTTTTGTGAACTTTATTTTTGATTCTTTTATCAAAATGTCTTGTTTGTTTCTTGTTTTTGAATTTGTTTTAAAAAAAACAAAAATTGTGTTTTAATTATTCTCTAAAAACAATATGTGTTAATGTGTTAAATTTTAATTATGTCGTGCCATAGAAAATTCATGATCAACAACTAAAACTCTTTTTATGACAGTAATATATTTAATGTACCACGTGTAACAGATATCGATAATAATAATTCTAAACATGTTTCTATATTATGTATATTTATTGGACATATATATAAATATACCTTTTTCACAAGGTTGAATTAAACCTAATTGTGATTTTAAAAATAATAATATATCCATATATAATTCCGGATTACCTTTTGTTGCATGTTTTAATATTCGTAACATCATAAATACACCAGATGCAACAGTTACTTTTCTTCGTTAAGTCCACATTCTTGATTTTCTTCGTTAATTAAGTCCAAACAAATTATTGTTTTCTTCGTTAAGTCCAAATTCTTGTTTTCTTCGTTAAGTCCAAATTTTGTTTTCTTCGTTAAGTCCAAATTCTTGTTTATAATTCTTTTGCATCTTTATCTGGTATAAATATCCCTACATCAACTGGGATTATCCGATTATCCCATACTGGCATCTTATCCCATCAACTGGCCAATAACCATAGTGTGTCATGCCCCAGTCACTGGGATCACCAGGCCCTTCCTTTGGGCATCCTTTGGCACCCAGGCGATCAGCTTCAACGTCGTATCCTCCGGATCTGCAGACAAGACATGGCGCTGAAGCAGGGGCAGCAGGTAGGCCAAGGTCTTCCCAGACCCCGATTGGTCCGCAACCACAGAGCTGCGACCTCGGCTGGCCCGTGGAAAGCCATAGTTCTATCCCACCATGGAGGGATTCCTTAGGTATGTTAAGCCACTTTAAAAGGGTGCCATGGGCTCTGTGCCTGTTTCTAATCACAAGCCACCCTCCAGGAAAATTTTGAGCCATCCAAAGGATACCAACAAAAACTGACTAAAAAATGCGCAGCTCCTGTCTGGGAAAGTGTAACCCATGGCCTGCATCTTTGGACACAGAAAGCCCTTGGATCTAAGGCCATCTCCTTTGACAATCTCTGGAAAACTCCTTGGCAGCACAGCGGCACTGCATCTTTTGTGGAGTTGGAAAGGCAAGGTGTTGCAACTTATTTCAAGGAAAAAAATTCTACATTTTCTTCTACTCCTCCAAGAACTCTTCGAAGAGAATATTGGCCAGTCTATGGAAGTGATATGGGTGTTTCGTGGAAGTTCGTGGAATTCTTTGGAGGCAGAGAGAGTTTCCAAGATTCGGCGTCAAAATGTTGGGTACTTGCTCCAAAATTCCATGGGTGGTACGGTAGTACTGCAAATGTCTACGAATCATTCGGTGGGAACAGCCAGTGCTGCCGACTGGCAAGAACTGGATTCTGGAGGGCCTGGGAAGCTGCATACTCTCTGCCTCAGCATAGCGGGATGGTCGGGTCAAAAAGATCGAAAACTCGACCCCTCCTATTTTGCAGGCGACGCAGTTTGTAATTTGGGGATCCCACAAAAAAAATAGGATTCTCTTTTTCAGTGTTCGCAATTCTTGTGCTGCACACCATTTCTATGGTCCATTCTGCCTCAAACATCACAAATTAATCCCATCCTTTTTAAGATTTTTGAAGTTCCCTCAACTGCGTCCATTGTGCGCCACATCGCTGAGGTCTCCTGCCAACGTCGCAGTCTCTGGTGTGATTCCGTCGATCTGGGCAACGAGTGAGCCGGGAATCAGAAGGCTGACCCTGTGACCTCCTTGGATTCACATTGACCTAGTGACCTTCTGGGTTTTTTTGTTTTTTTTCAATGTCAGGATTGCCAATGTACTATTGTAATCTACTGTAATCTACTGTAATCTATTGTAATCTATTGTAATCTATTGTCAACTATTGTAATCTATTGTAATCTATTGTAATCTATTGTAATCTATTGTAATCTATTGTAATCTATTGTAATCTATTGTAATCTATTGTAATCTATTGTAATCTATTGTATCCATGCCTGAGTTGCAGTGTGAGATCCTTTGTATGAAGAATATATATATATAGCTATGTGTGTGTGTAGAATATGTGATACATACCATTCCTGTTGGTTGAACACCCATCTCTACCAGTTAAATCCTCACATTTCCTCTTTGTATCATAAGTTCTATTTCCACAGATCTCGTGCCAAACCCCCAGTACTGAGACAAGATCCCGGCCTGACCCCAATACTTCTGCGAGAAGAAGTGCTCCGGGGCCTTTCCCTGCTGAAGAAGTCCGCAGGAAAATTCCCATGATGGGCAGATGACGTCTTCCCGTGGAAAAGATGTGTGTATAAAGTATAAAGATTGGTATTTCCCGTGCTCTCTGGAATTCCAAGGGACACTTATGTTCATGCAACCCCTTTCCAGTGGTTGTTGAGTGAGAGGAATTCAATCATCCAAAATCCACAGATGATGATGGATGTGTATATTTAGAGATCTGCATAAACATATACACTGAAATGTTTATGTGTGTATGTGTGTATGTGTGTATGTGTGTATGTGTGTATGCATGTATGCATGTATGCATGTATGCATGTATGCATGTATGCATGTATGCATGTATGCATGTATGCATGTATGCATGTATGCATGTATGCATGTATGCATGTATGCATGTATGCATGTATGCATGTATGCATGTATGCATGTATGCATGTATGCATGTATGCATGTATGCATGTATGCATGTATGCATGTATGCATGTATGCATGTATGCATGTATGCATGTATGCATGTATGCATGTATGCATGTATGCATGTATGTATGTATGTATGTATGTATGTATGTATGTATGTATGTATGTATGTATGTATGTATGTATGTATGTATGTATGTGTGTGTATGTATGTATGTATGTATGTATGTATGTATGTATGTATGTATGTATGTATGTATGTATGTATGTATGTATGTATGTATGTATGTATGTATGTATGTATGTATGTATGTATGTATGTATGTATGTATGTATGTATGTATGTATGTATGTATGTATGTATGTATGTATGTATGTATGTATGTATGTATGTATGTATGTATGTATGTATGTATGTATGTATGTATGTATGTATGTATGTATGTATGTATGTATGTATGTATGTATGTATGTATGTATGTATGTATATTGCTTTGTATTTATTTAACTTATTTGTTCTTGTTTATTTATTCATTCATTCATTCATTTATTTATGTATCTATTTATTTATTTATTTATCTATTTATAATGTATATCTTTATATGTATACATTATGATTATGTATTTACTTTTAATGTATATTACATATATCCTATAACTATATATATATATAATATTGATAGATGCCCTACAAGTCGGAGTATGGTCTCCACAAAAACACCCAGCCCTGAAGGCTGCGGACAGCGCCTTCTTTCCCTGACGAAGTTCCCAGTCGTAGGCCTGGGGCTGGATGGTTTACGGAAAATCCGGAAGGAAAAATGGATGAAAAATGGGCTTTCCCCATGACCCCATAACTTAGGAAACCTCCACATGGAGATATAGAAACTGGGATATTCTCCAACCAAATATTGGGTATCATGCTACTGTGTTGAATGACCTGAAGATACCTGAAGGCAAATTGAACTCTGGTATCACTCCTCGTCAAAAAACTATTTGGCCTGCCTGACCACAGATGTCAATTCCTCCAAGCGCAACTTCCTCCAAGCGTGTCACATAACTGCGCCTTTCGGAAGTGCGGGAAGAGCGAGGGTCGCTCCTCCGGTGGCAGTGTTCTCCAAAGTTTGCGCCTCGGTGAAACCGTGAAACCAGTTGCCTCAGAAGTTCCTCACATGCGCCCAGTTGCCTCTCGATTCTTGCTGGTAAAATCCCAAACGTTTTCATCCCCATGTCTTAAACTCTGAAAACCTCACGCTCAAGGGACTCTTCCCCACTCAAAGTGTGGCTGAAATTGAAGTATGTTCAAATCTGTCGAAATCTTTGGGGATAGTATCCCAATAGTATCCCAATATATCCCAACCAATTGGAAAAAGTTTGGGGATGAGGACCTTCCCCATCAAACATCAGGGATCCCCTTGGGTTCCCCTGCTCCATCCGCTGCAGCTCTGAGGGATGACTCACTTGATATCGACCTCAGCGGTGGTCAAATCGTGGAAAATGTAAATGTATGACTTAATCAGCCACCCCTGCAAAATGAGGATTGAATTTAATAGGCCAAAAATTCGGGATATGAACCAGATTTATGCCTTTCTGGATTTGATTCGAGGGGAAATGATGAAGGAAATCAGTTGTTAACCCCCCAGGGGTGTCTGGAACCAATTCTGGGATCCTCAGAGTTTCCATGCTTTCGTGGAAAGTGAAGCTTCGTAAGGGCGGCTGGTAGAGTTTGACCCACAGAATCACTGGTGGTTGAGCCGGCTCAGCGTCAGAAGCTGCAACTTGCGTTGCAAATTCATCAATTCTTTTGGGGATGTGAAAGTGAAAAAAAAAACTTGGAAAACGGGTTTTAGCCAAGAAAAATGTAGCCAGCAGATTTGCTCTGATGGATTTCTGACTGGAAAATTTGGTCATCTCCAAGAACACCTGGCCATCCCAACGGCTGGGCTTAGGCACTGCGTGCAGCAGAAGCATTCGACTGCTCCAGCACCTATGCTTGGACGATGTCCCAAGGAACTCAATTCTAGTGATAATGGTGGTATGCGGTGGTGAAAGTGATGACAACAAGGAGAAAAATGTACAGTTCTGCGCTTCTTAAGGGCTCTTGCTGAAACTGCCCCCTTCAGCATTGCTCAACAGTCCGTCGTCGTTTTTTGGGCACGAAAAGATGCCGATTTGGCCTCGGGGCACGTCCAGGTCAAATTTCTAATTTGAATCTTCTATTTGAAAGGTATCCCCACCACTCCGCACTATTGGTGGGTGGGTCCCAAGCTCGAGGGCCTCGACTTTTCCTTGTTCCAACCTCAGCGTAAGAGACGGTGAATGGGGTGCCACCCAAAAGTCATTATACATCCAGTCGGAGGGTTTAGTCACATCAACTTCTTGCAAATCACACAGTTCACCTGCAGGTTTCACATCGCCATCATGCTTAGTGTGCGCTTTATGCATTTCACATGTTACAGACTCTGAATCTCGTATATAGTTATTTGTGGTCAAAATCCTTCATCCTTCATCAATGATGCTTCAGTTCAAACTCAAAGTGGGAAAGAAACCACTTGCAGCAGATTTCACTGTTTAAAATAGAAAAAATGTGGACTGGAAGCTTGGTGTACACTTCACCTTTTGGCCCCCAAGCATTGAACTCCAAAACAAACCACTGAGCCAGCCACGCATCAACAAAATCTCTGATGGGTTTTCGATCCAGACCTGGTGCTGGGCCGTCAGGGGATGTATCATGGTATCTGAACCCTGCGGAAGTCACTGAGTTGCCCACTTCGGAGCTCGGGTTCCATCCCTGCCAAGGGAATCTCACCACGAGCTACCTTCTTCTTGTACCTATGGCCCAAGAAAATGCGAAATCAGGAGATTCCAAGAAAGGTCCAGCTTCGTCGAAGGAAAAACTGGGACCACAGAAGGTTGGTAACCTTGGCGGCCGTTTTCTACCTCTCGGTCTAGCACTCCGCACCCTGCCCTCCCGTGGCACCAGGGAGCATTCCATGGCTCCTTTAAGCCATCAGCCTCACTGCAAATGGGTTTCGTTTGCCCCTATCAAATAAGCAGTGAACTTTGACCATGATCATAGTTTTGGGCGCTATGGTTCAGCCTGAAATTTGTTCTCAAACAGTGAATGTTTCACTTGGGGAGTTGCTCCCATCCAGTCTCCCTTGGCTGGGATCGCAGCACGCAAGCCCCATCCATCTGGAATCACCACCTGGGATCTACCAGGAAACCGCTGAAGACATGTCTTGAGACCGTACCCCAAAACACCTGCGCATCACATCACATTTTCTACTCATCTGTATAGAGATTATAGAGGCGTTCTTTGTGTGGAGAGTGGATCCTTGCTCTTCATTCAAGGAGCCTTTTTGGCAGGGTATCTAGATGGGGACGTATATTTAACCAATGGTAATAGATAGACAAATAGATAGACAAATAGATAGACAAATAGATAGGCAAATAGATAGAAAGATAGATAGATAGGTAGACAGATAGACAGACAGATAGATAGATAGATATATGCTCACGCCCCCTCCCATGATCTACCCCACACATGCCTCCATACATATACATACATACATCTATATATATATATACACATATGTTCACGCCCCCCCACCCCATATGGTATGGGGGCTTACCCCCCATCCACAGATACATAGACACATACATATACAGATACATAGACACATACATACACAAATACATATACATACTCTATATATATACATAAGCTTATATACCATATTATATGTAATTATTATATTAATATGTTATATCATATATATTATCATATATAATGTCATATATACTTTTATATAATATCATAATATATATAATATACAATATATAATATATAATATGTAATATATAATATATAATATATAATATGTAATATGTAATATATAATATGTAATATATAACATCATCATATATATATATAACCTAATCTTCACTGATCTTCTTTCCATCAACTCAGGCAGCCCTGCTGACTCCCTTTGCTGCTCTTGCTCCTGAGGTTTCGAGGGTATCTCTCTGGGCCTGCGCGATGGCAAAAATGAGGCACTCTTAAGGGCACGATATTGGACATATACCATGTATTAAATAAATAGTGTAATGTAAAATAGGTGTATTATACATGTATACCGTGTATTTTTTTTGCCAGGCATATGAGACTTTCTCGTGCCGCTGCATGCACAACCAGGGGAAAAGATGGTCAGACTGGTTGGTAGTCGGGCATCATCACACCGCCCTCAAGGCAGGCAGAGAGCCTCACGAATTCAGTCAAATCGTCATCTGCAACCTTCGGCCCACCCTGGTCGCGGTGCTTCGAAAGGCAGTGACTGAAAAATAGGGCAAAAGCTCGAGAAAGGGCAGCTGGATACTCCTTTGCACGAGCGGTCCTAAACTTCCCTGTGGGATCCCGACCGATTAATGGAACGGTCGGCTTGACAGGATCCGAAAGTTCGCAGGCCTCTAAGGCTTTGGGCAACGGACCATTGCTGTACAGGAGCATCGTTGGCTTGATGCCCTCGGCCCCGAATTTCCATTGGCGAATTGTCGTGCGTCGAAATGGGCGTCCACCTCGCAGCAGGAGACGCAAGATGCCACTTCGCCATATCGAAGGAAGCTCCTCATCGTAGGGCATCGCCGGGTGCTCCAAAACGACAGGGCCAGAGCGACACGTAATGGCTACGGATAGCCAGATGCCCTTCAAAAGAAGGCAGTTTCCAACACTCAACTGCAACAATTCGCTCAAAGAACGCAGCGGCATCCCCCAGAGCTCGCTAGCAGTGCGAACTGGTCTGGGCCCCATGCGCTCCTCATCTGGAAGAGGTTGGTTGCGAGCTGCCGACCATGTTTCGCAGGGCGGCCCAAGCAACATCGCCAGAAGACGCCCACCGCGGGCGAGGTCAAGCAATTTGTTCCAAAGCGCTGGGCTGTGAATGTTCATACTGTCATGGATCGCGGTGTCGATCGAGATGACATAGACACAAGCACTGAGGGCAGCGTGGTCCGTGTCCAAGTAGAACTGCATCCAGTGTTGAAAATCACAGTCTCGCCTCCTGCCCGAGTAGAGGTGCACAATGAAATAGGGCCCAATAGTAGCCAATGGTCGTTGAACAGGATGTCGGAGGAAATTCCAATGGCATCGCTGTTGTTCTTCAATCGCCATGGTGTTGTAAGCTGAGTCGATGCAGTGCAGTCGATTGTACGGTCTTGCAACGGCAGGATGTGCAGGAGCATCAAAATCCGGGTAATCCGGAGGCAAGTGCATCCATTGCGCCGTGAGGGCCTTCATGCGCTGGCGGACATGCCATGTTGGGAGATCATCCAAAACACTCATGTACGCCTGCTCCAACAGGATTGCAATGTCTGGGTCCAATTCAGGGGGGCACACATCATGCAGATGGGCTTCGACCCAATGAATGAACAATCTGCACCGTTGCGGATCAGAGCAATCCAAGGTAAACAGGGCACCAAACATTGCGTTGTGAAAGTCAACCTCAGATGGGGCATCCATGGCGCACCATGCGTGCAAAACGTCACAAAGCACCTGGTTGGCCTGGTGGACCAAAGGCTCATCATCTGATGGGAACCACCAGGCACATTCCTCATGGCCCTCAGCACGCAAACTTGCAATCTCTTGTCGAAGCCGAATACGAGTCCGTTGGACACTCGTGGGTCGAAGAGGTCCATGATGTCCCCGGATTGCAGGCAGTCGTTTGATCTTGATCAAATGATCTGGCAGGCCAATGGTGGTGGGGTTGTCAGGGGCACGCGCCAAATGGACCCGATCCCAACATCCATTGCGTCGGTAACGAAGGTGTTGGGTCACTCGAAAAGTGGTGTGGAAATCACGCAGGCATCCAGGGCAAACCGTAGATTGGGCATAGTAACGCTCCTGGGCTACAACCCCATGAAGTCGGAATGCATGTAGAGAAAGTTGTTGTTGAGTTGGAAAGCTCGGAGGGCATTGGGCGCAGCGAAAGGTCAGACCACCGGAGGGGGCATCCACGATTTCATTTGTGGTTACCTCTGCCCCAACCAAAGTGAGTTCCATCACAATGGACCTGTGGTAGGACGCAACCTCCCATGCAAGCTTCTCCTGGATCAAATGTTTGCGACATGCTCTCTGCACCTGACGCTTCCATGATGACCAGGAGGCCAATTGAGGCCAAAAGGTTTCCCAGTGCTCTTCTTGCATCGGAATGTCAAAGGGCAACTGCACAAGCTGCTGCAACCAACGAAGATCTTGCACAACTTCCTGAAGCCATCCCTTCCCAGTAGCATATTCGGCCAGCAAAAGAGCTCGATGTACTGGAAGGGCATGTCGGGAGATGTGCTGCAGGTAAACCAAGCGGTGGCGCGCCCAATGAATGCGGAAGGGCATGACCTGATGGAGCGCTGCAAACTCTTGGTCGGACACATTGGAGGCGGTCCAAAAGCCCAAATTGTGGATGCGTCGATGGTGCTGCATAATCATTGTCTCAATTCGCTTCAAATGGGGTGCAGGAACATCGCTCCACGTTGAACATCCATATAGAAGACGAGAAAGGACAAGGCTGTCGTACAGCTTGGTTCGTGCATCAGAACTCATGGCCCGGTTGCCAAAGATGGCTTTGCGAAGTTCCTCAAAAGCCTGCTTGGCCATTGATATGCGAGATTCAATCTCCTCATTGATGTCAAGGTCCATGGTGTAGCGAGCACCAAGATGGCGATACGATGGGACTACCCTGATGGAGACAACATGTGAAGGAGTCGAAGTAACAATGGTGGGCATCTTGGAGGTGTCAAAGAGCATGGTACGGAATCGGTTGGAGTCACGTCCCCGATACATCATGACAACTTCCGTTTTGCCTCTTTGCATATTGAGAGTCAATCCATAGCGTCTGAACAGGGCATGCATAGCCGTAGTCACCTCCTGTACAAGCGGCAGCAAATCATCAGGGCGCTCAGATGCCAACGGGACCGCCAAATCATCCACCCATGTAATTGGGGGAGTTGCAATACCAATGGCTGAGTGCCCTTTGCATTGCAATGCACAGCCATCCAGGAACTCTCGGAGGTGATTGACAATTTCAGACATGAGGAGGTTGAAACCTATGTCAGCAAGAGGAGAACCAGGTCGCGTTCCACGTCGTGTCTCCGTGGCTGAAGCTTGCTCAGGGTCAAGTTGGAACCATGTGCTTTGATGAGTGTCAGCGAGGCATCGTCTCAAGGCTGGTGGCACGTCCACAGGTCTAATCTCAGTGGCTTGCTGGAGTTCAGCGGCAAGGGCCTCAAGATCAAAGTCCATCGGGTCCAAAATGCGCTTCAACTCATCATACTGCAGGGGCAGGTCATCATTGAAAACAAACTCCCGAAGTAGATGGTGGAACGCCGATCTCAAGTCCACAAAAATGACTGCAGTAGAGACCTTACGGACACGCCCAAGTCGCCCGTGTAGACGCAACATCTGGATGCCAGAGACCGTCTGTTGGGACGGTAACCCGCCGAGTTGACCCAGGGCACGTCGCTGCAGCATGGTTGGTAGCAGTCGACGGCGCATCCATGCATGGTAGATCTTCCCAAAAGAGTCGCTCAACAAAATTCCCCTATAGGAATCAGCCTGTGTTTGTGGTCCTTTCTGCTTCCATATGGGCACTAGGTACCCGCCCTTGTACCTGTATGGTTCAGTTGCAGAGAGGAAGGCTTTGAGCATGACTCCATGAAGATGCGGCGAAAGGGCAACAGCTCCATAGCGGCATACATTCGAAGAAAGGCCATCTGGTCCCGGAGCCTTGTTGGGACGTTGGCGAAGGCATAAATCTTCAGTTTCAGCCAAAGTTGGAAGTTCCTCAAGATCAATGGTCAGTACATCAGGTTGCCGATGAAGATTGGCATGGTTGCGTGAAAGGCACCGCTGGCGGTTCCGCAAAGTCGGGCGGGTGGTGCCAGCCTCAAGCTGTTCGAAATGCTGCAGCATCTCATCTCCAAGGTCAAAGCGCTGGATTGACCGACGAATGCGGTTCTTGGGGAGGACAGCCTTGATACGCTTCCACAAAGCCGTAAGGACTTCAACTGTGTACGTGTGGGCTGCTTGTTGGGCTAGCGCAGAGTAATAGTGTCCATCTTCTCTACGTATTGCCTCAGTTACAGCAGTTGAAGTCTCCCGCAGAGATCGCATGGTCATGGCAACAGCCTGATCACTCAGAGGTAGCCAACCTTGCAAGCGAGCAGATGGGTCTCGTCCCTGCCAAGCTTGAAACACAGCCTGCATGATTGTAGTGGCTTTCGTCTTCCTAAGAGCTTTGAGCTGCTTGAAGAGGGATTTCTTGTGTTGCACCATCTGCCATGTCTCATCACTGATGTGGGTCTTGCGCGGCCATCGACGTACTTTAGGTAGGAGGTGTTGGACAGCTTGTTGAGTCTGAGCAGCAAGAGTATCAGCAGTTGCATGTGGGTCAATGCACCACGGTGGCATTTGAATGGCATCATGCAATGCATGGAGCTTGGCTGGGTCCTGGAATGTCTGCCCAAAGGTATCCCCGAGACCAAATTGCAAAGGGCGACCAAGTCGTCGTGCTTGCTTCGCATCGCCCACAAGCTGCTTGACCGTCAAGTGGCACAGCACAGGTACGTGATCAACTCGTTGGGTGAGAGTGTCAATGTCTGTCTCAACCCATGTACAGAGTTCTTCATAATGCAGCTGATTGGGCACCGCAACGTAGTCAATGCGCGTAGAGTGATCTCCATCAGGGGAGACAAATGTGCAGTGAGTGTCTCCTTGATGGTGCTGATCAAAGGTCGCAGGGGCAAAGAGGTGATGCTCCAAAAGCCATTGGTGGAAGGCTGTACCGGAGTCATTCTCTTGGCGAGGATGGTGATTACCAACTGCGTCAGTCATCACAGCACCAAGATGCCCATTTGTGTCGCCCAGGAAAAAGGTAGGCCATGTCCTAGACAATTGCCGAATCTTGACAGAGATGTTATGCCAGTAGTGCTCCGCATGCATCAGCCCGTGGCCAGAGTGTGGCGCCCGGCCAGTGATGAGGAGA